AAGCGTTTCCTCATAGGGATTGTTGGTGGAAAGTCCTGATCGATTTGGTGCGCGATGGACGTGGAGAAAATCGCAATGTTTGCCGGCGTGGGCTTCGCCATCGCCGTGGGTCTCTTCGTCCTGTGGGGTCCATCGCCCAAGCCTAGGAAAAAAGGTGACGTCTGGGCTACGTTCATCTAACGTTTATTACGAAGACGACGTCCTTTTACCCTTTTATCCTTGTGCTTTATTTTTGTGTAATGAAACTATAAAGAAAATAATATAGCCGTTATCGATATCGTTTACCATTGGAAAAAAATTATATGTATACAAGTATATTTTTATTGTATTATATAAAAGATCAGATACATAATTTCTTTAGAGTATTTTTGTTAAGTTTAATTCTGTTACAGATTTATTATTAAGAAGCACAATTACTATGATTTTAGTTTTATTTACACTTGATTATTTTACACACATTTTTCTTTTAATTATTTTATCTTATATAATCACAAGAGATATTACATACATAATCATTTGGAGCTGACGATGAATCTATTGAACCCATTCAGTTATAAATCTCTTTGTCAAAAATATCAAACGATTCAATTTTCTTTATGTTACATTTGCAAATTTGTAGATCATTATTGTTATAAAATATTTGGTATTTATTCTTTTTGATTTGAATTATGTCATTTTGGTTTCTGGTTTCTAAAATTAATTGATGTTTTTTAATTAACATAAATGAGTCACGTCAATACTTACAGTCTCAAGTTTTACAGACTCACATTAATAAATTATGTTATAAATTTTGGCACTAATGCTAAAGCTAACTCTGGAGGATTAATAGAAAACAAATTCTCTGGTTTAATTGTGACTTTATTGTCTGCTTCTAGGTCGAGTTGTTGGGATTAACAATTTGGGATACACATGTTTCCTGAATTCTCTTTTACAAGCATTGGCTGCTTGTCCCTCATTTATTTTCTGGCTTCAAAAACAGCAAGAAAAGAAGGATAGAAACTTTGCTGACACACTGTTTTCTGTTCTCAAAAGTATGGCTGTGATCTGATCTTATCTTTAGTAGTTTAATTGTGGATTTAAAATTGCAACTTTTAATCCCTAAACATTAAATTAATTTCTAAGTTTTTTGTTAATTTTCTTGTTGCTTAACAAGATCTTTAATCAGTATATTAAAAATGATAGTATTTTTTTAAATTAAATTTTTGAATTTTTTAAATTTTCTGTATTCATGTTTTTATATCTTACATTGTACTAATTTATATTTCATAGAAATTAATGGTTTTGCGGATGACCTGTATGGCAATGTGACACCTGTTGAAATCATCTCTTCCGTTGGCTCATTGTGGAATTTTGGACCTGGTTATCAAGATGCTCATGAACTGTTCCATGTGGTTCTCAGTGCGTTAGATACTGAAATGCAACCTACTAATAGGGTATGCAGTATATGTCATTATTATAGAATTTAACAGAAACTTTCCGTTGTAAAAAAAAAAGATTTTTTAAGACTTTTGTAACTAATTGAAAAATTTATTCATGATTTCAGAAAGGTTGTTTGTCTGATGCACTGCCACCAAGCCCGGTTATTAATCCAGATGTAAGAGGAACGGGCGATACTCTGAATCTCAGAAGCGCCTCTTGTAATGACATAGCGTCAGTGGAGAATAATTCCGATAATCCGAAGGGTTTCGACAAAAACTGCAACAATCAGATGATGACTTCAACATCGTCCATATCCAGTGCATCTCCGAGCACGTGCAGGCCCGGTATGATTCTCGCTAGATCCTCAGAGTTGCTATCTCGAAGCATTCAAGGCAACGGTGACTGCACGAGTCTCTTCGGATCATGGAAATCTCTATGCGCCGCCATGTCATTTACTAACATTCCTTCAATGTCAGTGGAGACACATCCGTTCTCAGGTCTAATCACTAGCCAAGTTCAGTGCAGCGACTGTTTCTGGAAGGTATTGTCACGAAAATGATCCAATTTTTTCGTTACTAATTTTTTTATTTGAATTTTTCAAACGTTATTAAGGCCCGTTGCACCAACGTTACTTTGATTTTAAACAAGGCTTAAAACTCTCTGTCTCTCTTTCGTTTTAAAATGAGACAGAGAGAGTTTTAAGTCTTGCTTAAAGTCAAAGTAACGTTGGTACAACCAGACCTAATTCATTTGTACGCATCTTTTTAATCCAAATATCAATAATAATATTTTCTTTTCCTCGCTTCCTATCAAAATAATTTACAGTTCTAATAATCTTGAATTCTAATCTTAATAATGTTAAATCTTTAATAATACTAAATTTTAATCTTAATCCTCATTTCTTTTTTCAGTCTTCAGTACGTTACGATAAGCTTGAAACATTATCATTACCATTACCGCCGCTCACTTCATCATTTGTACCACAGCACCACTCTTTGGAATGGTTACTGTCACGTTTCGTAGACAGCGAAATTGTGCGCGATGTGCAATGTGATGGATGCTCGTCGCGTTGCACGGCCATCAAGACTCTTACCCTCGGCAAACTGCCCAAGTGTTTATGCTTGCACATTCCAAGGACCACTTGGAGCTCTTCCGGCATGCCAATTAAAAGGGATGATCAGATCACGTTCCCCGAATTTCTGGTGCTAGATCCGTACACTTATACGGAGACAAAAAAAAGAAGCGCGCAGGTAATTTATAAAAAGATTTATAGTAAATTTATTAAATAAGGAATTCCTAGAAATATTTTATTTACAATCCTACAACTCTCAATCTAAACTTATGATTGATCAGGCACAATTCAATTAAGACTCAGTTTCGCAACTCGTGGTTAACGCTTAACTGAGGTTCAACTTGTTTCTCATCTTTTTCCAATTCTAGCATTAGAAAAAGATAAAGAATAAGTTAAATCTTGGTTAAGAGTTAACCATGAGTTGTGAAACTGGGCCTAATTTAATCTAGAATCTTTTTATTTTTATAGGGTGACGCGAAATTTCTCGGTAACAGTTTCATAACGATACAGGGTAAACACAAGTATCGGTTGTGCGCGGTAATCGAGCACCGCGGCCCAGTAGACTCCGGCCATTTCGTTTGCTTCAGACGTGGAAATAAAGCGGATCAATGGCTGTACACGTCCGATGTCATTGTCGAGAGCGTGTCATTGACGCAGGTGCTGCTTGCCAGTCCATATCTACTCTTCTACGAGCGCATTAATAGCGTTTATCCTAGCTAGGAACAATTTTCGAAGTAATAGGCTATCTATAGGAATTACGAAATGACGCGTCGATTAATAATCGGACCGCTCTTTTTAGCCATGCTTTCTCTCTTGTAGGCTTTATACAATAAGCCATTACTTAAGCTTAAATCTTAAGCCATTAAGAAATCGATCATCCCTAGTTGATTATTCTTCTCATATTCGACTATGAATGGTCAATTTCTTATAGTTTAAGACTTAAAACTTAGGTAATGGCTTATTGTAGAAAGCCCATTACGCTTTTGGCATTTAAAGCAAAGCAATTATGTATACAACAGAAATCGTACAGAAAGATAAAATTGTAAGGAATTAAAAACAATTGTAGAAAACACAGCTAGAAAGAACGGAGAGGATTTGCGAAATATAAGAGACTGTCGAATTTTCCATAATAAGTTTAATATCGTTCGATGTTGCGCGATAATACTTTGTTATAACGATAAGGAAATAATATAAGGCTCGATAGATTAAAAATTAAACTAAAAATTCAATTTTGTTATAATATACGACTATGAAACGTGCGTCTCTAGGTGATATTTTATAGCAACCGTGAAATGTATCGAATATATATAATCTAAAATTCCGAAATATTTCATTAGCGACGAATGCGTTAATAATTGCCATTATTGGACGTTGACAAATCTACCGGAATAGTAAGTTTCGTGAAATAAAAATGTCTTGCTTCTATAACATATAGTGATATATAGTAGATTTCTACCAGAAGAGACTGTCAATTTTTATAGATCATTTGATCAGTTCATTATTATATCTTTATTTTAACAAGGAACTAAGATCGTGCCAATAACAAATTCGTCGAATTAAATTTATTAGGAGATAAACGAGATGAATCGTATTTTTTATTACGTTCGTATCTGAGGCTCTTTGAGCTCTTGCATATATAGTGCAATTGTTAAAAATATTATTATTATTATGTGTGAAGACTGCGAATTTGTTAATTTGTATATATATATATATCTCGATGAATTTTCTTTCTCTGATTAGCATAAAGGAATATGCGAATTACCAGAATAAATATTTACTTTAAGAATGTTAGATATGTAAACATATAATTTAAAGTCTTATAAAAACTTATTAAAGTGGAATAAAATTTAGAACGCAGCATACCTTACTGAAAAACGTAGTAACTTTTTCTCTCCAATTTAATTTTTATTAAAATAATAAATTTTATTGAAGTAATTTTAGTTGCATTTTTTTTTTCATAAAATATACTCTCCCAGCCGGAGTTAGAAATTCATTCAAAAAGTCGGAGAGATGGAAATATAGTTCCGTTTCACACATGATCTATCGTTTTATCCTTCTTTAATATTTAATGAACAAAACAGAGATAAGATGCTACGTCACGCGTAAATGCGTGAAACGACGCCGGTATAGCCATGGTGGAAAAGTTTTTTCCACCGTGGGTATATATAGCATCACAGATCTCAACCTAACACTTGTCTTAAGCTTTGTGTCCACGATGCTAGAAATTGGTCCGAGATCTCGGAGAGAGAAAGAATTAACCAATCACATTTAAACAATTTAGTCACATGATCAATGCGATTGGTCAATTCTTTCTTCATCCGAGATCTTTGACGGATTTCTAGCATCGTGGACACTAGGCTTTACAACCAGAAAGAAGCCTGAGAACGGCCATGCTCGGGATTTAGCTGCAACCTTATTTTGAAGCGCCTCTATGTCCACAAAACGTAGACATTGAACTACGTAGCCAATGTCCATGATTTTTTGATTGTATTCTTTGCTATGTCCACGATTTTCGGTCTGTTAGATAGATAAAGATGAACAATCAATCTGTCGGCGCTTGTTGAACAAATGATTGCTCGTCTTTGTCTATCTAACGGATCGAAGATCGTGATATAGCGAAAAATACAATAAAAAAATCGTGGACATTGAACTACGTAGTTCAATGTCCACGTTTTGTGGACATAGAGGCGCTTCAAAATAAGGCTGCAGTTAAATCCCGGGCATGGCAACTCTCAGTGACTCTCAGGCTTCTCTCTGCTTACAAGTCACAGTATTGTAAACATTGCATAACTTCGACTTCAATACATTTTACTCCTTTTTTAAACATGGAATAAAAATTATAAAAAACGTAATCTAAGTTGATTAAAATAAAAAAGTGTTGTTCTATATCAATTAGAACATTTATAAAGTCACAAATTGATAGTTTACTCTGAGGTTAGGTGTAATATAGAGAACGGAATTTAAGGAACTCCCTCGATCTCCGAGAGAAATGAATGTACGAAAGGATTCAACTACTTCAACTCCATGCTATAGATAATTATAAAAACAGAGGTATGTAAAAAGACATATCGCTTATTTACTACAACTTAAAAAACAAAGATTTCCAGAAAGTAAATTTGAATGTTTTGAATCATTAAAGTGATAATTATTTAGAATACGGGCCTCATCTCCGATTTTGATGAAATTGGGCTCATTCGATGCGTTTTTACTCAAAATGAAAGAATCTGGCAAAAAGATGCGGCGATCGGCTTCGTGAACCGAGATATCAAGTGTCAAAGTTCGAGATTTTAGAGGTTAAGATATCTGTCATCTCGACTCGGGCTACGTTCGCTTTGGCGCTCACAGCACTTGTAAGCATCAATTGTCCTTGTTTAATACTTAAAAATAACAAGGATGAAATGACGCTTAAAGCGTGTGGGCACCAAAACGAACATATAACGTTATGTATACGTTCTGCTTTAATTACACAAATTCACTTCTTTAAAAACAAATTCTCTGTTTCACAAACACAAACTCACTGCTTTAAAAACACAAATTCACTACTTTAAAAATATAAGTTCATTGCTTTAAAAACACAAATTCATTGTTAATGCAAAAAATTTGTGTGTTTAAAGCAGTGAATTTGTGTTTTTAAAGCAGTGAATTTGTTTTTGTGAAGCAGAGAATTTGTTTTGAAAGCAATGAATTTGTGTAATTAAAACAGAACGTATACATAGCGCTATATCGAGTCGGGATGACAGATATCTTAACCTCTAAAATCTCGAACTTTGACGCTTGATATCTCGGTTCACGAGGCCGATCGCCGCATTTTTTTGCTAAATTCTTTCATTTTGAGTAAAAACACATGGAATGAGCCCAATTTCATCAAAATCGGAGATGAGGCCCGTATTCTAAAGAATTACTATTAAAATTTTGTAATCTTAATTTTGAAATGCAATTTTAGTGTAATAATTGATTGTAAAGGAATGAGTTATTCTTTTAAAGAAATGTTTTGTTCTTTTTTTGCAACCAACTAAAAGATTACAATTTTTTAGTTATATCATTATTGTAGCTTGTAGTAAATGAGCAATATGTAGAAATTTTGTTTAAGAAGAATCAAATAATATATCAAATAACATATCAATAATATATCAATAATTTACATTTATAACAGGGATTCTTTAGTTTCACTTACATTATCACGAACAGTTCTGAATCTGTTACTCTTCATTCAAATTAATATAAACCAACATGGCTGCTCCAATCAGCACTGCCATGGACAGCTTAACTGCTGCTCTCAAGTCCAACATTATTCCCAATCAGGAATATCTACTACAAGGATCAGTGTTAGATACCTCCGTAGAAGTACTGCTGCATAGACTTCGTGGTTTGTGTGACAATGTAGATCATGGACCTGAGGGTTTCTACGATCATGAGATGTGTTTCAGCATTCGCAGGTAAAATCGTTTCTTTTATTCCAATTTATATGTTTTTATTTATAGATGTATCTATAAAAACAGATATATCTATGAAAAAATGTAATCAAAGTCAATTTACATATTGAGTTGCAAGTATTTGTTTGACTTCTTTTCAGAAGTACTCCGCAGGAACAACCGTTATTACTGCGAGTGCGACGTACTCTGGATGCAAGCAACGCAGACATGCCGTGGCAGTTGCGATATATTGGCCAACCTGAACTAGGTGATAAATCTCGACCCACGATCGTTCGCAGTAGCATCGACATTGCTACAAGTAACACCGTAGTGGAGTTTCTCACTGAATTGGGCTGCAAGCTGGACTTCGAATATGTTACTCGTGGCTACATGTTTCGCAAAGGACGAATGAAGATTACCGTATCGAAGATCTTCAAGGTGAACCAGGGTAAGGTGCCAGAAGGCGTGCCGGAAATGATTTCACAGAGTTATTTGGTTGAGCTTAGCGTGTTGGCTCCTAGTGGGCAGGATGCCATAGCAGAGGATATGAGGATATTTGCGGAACAGCTGCGACCTTTGGTGCAATTGGAGAAAATAGATTATAAGAGATTAGTCCATTAATTATAAGATTTTTTTTATCGCAAAGATCATTCTTATGTAAAGCATCTCATGTAGTACGTCAAAAAATGTTCATTGACAGCAATTTTTTAAAAAGGTAGAAAAACTTTTCGTATATTTGAATAAAAAAGATAAAAAGAGCTATAAGCTGAGCAAATTTATAACTAAATTATAGCATAATTATAAATGAGGAGCAGACTTTCAAAATACGTTTTGTCCAAAATTTGTAATTTCCAGAAAATGAGAAAGAAAGAAATTATGCACTTTACAGAAAATAACAATACATCAATCAATAGGATGTGAAATATTAAACAAAATTGCTAAACAATTACTAAAAATGTTAATCTAATGCATTTTGTTTGTCTCTAGTTAAAAAAGATAATGCACTTTAAAATGTCTACGTTTTTTCAGCATATAAATTAACGATGAAAAAATGCTTTTTGAACATCTCAGAGTAGCTTATAATATGAGTCTTTCGACACTGAACACCCGCCATCTCTAACTAAAAAAATGAAATTTAGAACAAAACGCATTTTGAAAATCTACTCCTCAAATACTTCAAAATCTCTGTATTTTCATGCTGAAGAGGACTCCAAAGGGAATCAAACGTATAATCAATTTGGAATAATAATGACATTATCCTTTTCGTAAAGTAATAAAAGTTTTATCATTACAACTTACACCTCTCTGACTGCGCTGTATTCTCATTAGCCTTGAATTTATTTATTATATTTTAATAGGTAAAAAATAAGCGATATAATATTGATGTTAAATAAACATTTATTTAATGTTATGTTTAATGATAAAACAATTTTTTATTAAATATAAATAATTCGTTAATTAAATCATTAAATAAAAAACAAAGTAACAGTTTCAGAATATTATTTTAGTTGTGACTATATTTTAATATTTATCGCGACACGATATATAAGATTTTACTTTACCTTTTAATTCTTTATTTACAAAGAAAGGCTCCCAGGAGTCGCGTATTAAAATATGATGTGAAAAATATTTTTTTATAAAATGTATAATTATTAAACTACAAAAAACAAAAATGGAGAAACGTTTACGAGATTATTTATGTGTATATCAATATATCTTAAAAGTTAGTGTATAATGAAAATTTAATAATAAAATAAGTAAATTAATGTGTAATGGAAGTTTAAAAAATTTGGAGATAATTCTTTTTCCAACAAGAATTTTTAATATATGAGAAATTAAGATTATTTTATTTTCCATTAAAATTACGTCGTCGATATGATCTTTTTCAATTTTATTTCCTCAAAATTCTAATATAGCGTCTCTCACGAATGCCGGTATTTATTAGTTAAAAAAAGATCATATTGCGACACATTCTGATATACACTGTCAAATATAGCGTTGAATTTCAAATCGCAAAATAAAAACATGCAATCATCTCGCCCAAGCTTTTTGATTAATGATGAATGTATTATTTATTCATATGCATTAATTAATTACGTTAATTTATTAAGAAATAACAATAAAAAAATCCTCTTTATAGGCCTGTTCTTTTTAGCTGAACTTCTTGAACGGTTCATCTTTTCTCTTGTTCTCTCCAACAATAAAGACAAAAGGAAAAAAGATGAACCGTGCAAGAACTTTAGCTAAAAAGAACAGACTTTATAATCCAGTTCCGTCGCATGAATCGCATGTTAATCAATATTCGACTTAAAAAAATTAGCAAAATTTTGTCGCAATTAAAATTCAATTGATAAATTAATCAAAAAAATAATTTGTCATCGAACAATAATTAAGATTGATCGTTGACTTAGAAACGTCAACAATTAGAAAACAATTCTCGTGAAAATCGCAGCATCAGACCTACACTTGAACTGCGGAGTACAAGTGCCGGTGGCAGCACTTGATAGGAAACTGATGAAGATGGAAGAATAGGATGAACAGGTCGATGTGTGCCAACAGACTGAAATCGACGCCATTTTACTTTCAGTGTAGTTGTGGCGTGGATCTAACTGATCTGATTCCAACCGCAAACGATTTTTAAGCAATTTTGATAGAACACTCTCATAGGTAAGTGTGAATTTTTGATCATCAATTCGTTATGCAGAGCGTTGAAAAGGTTTCGTTCGACTGCTTGACGTTTGTTGGAAATTCCGCATGAGAGAGTTACGTGGTGCTACATAATCAACAGCGCTTAAGACGCTTCCTCCATGGCGGGAAGCCGGAATGAAAAGCTTTTGACGATATATATCGTGAAATTTTTATGGATCGAAAGGCGAGGAGGAAAAAAAGAGGAGACGATCTATCTTGGAATTAATATTCGTTTCTATATCAATGTAAATACACAAGGTCTGTTTTTGATTCCACTAGACTACAGTAAAAAACATTGGCTGCGTTCAGCAGAGAAAGCAGCTTTGCTACTTAATATTCGCAACGCTCGCGAGCATCATTTCATCCTTATCGTTTTCAAATATTAAACAAGAATGAAATCGAGGGGGTAACCACTAATGTAATCGTGGGACAGAATCCTCGAAATCATTATAAAATTCATACGAATCTCTATGTATAATCCAATAATTACATATGCAACCACGAGAAATCATTGTATAATATTAAATAAAATCGTATATTTTACCAAATGACTTCATATGTAGTGAAAAAAATTATTTGTGATTAGATGAAATCATGTAATCTTTGGGACAATATTTCAACTAGTGGTTACCCCCTCGGATGAAATGATGCTCGCTAGCGTTGCGAATGTTAAGTGGAATCCCCAACTGTTGTAAAAGTCTTAAGTACGATTGGTTTATACAATTACATCCAATGAGAAACTAGGGGCAAGACTAATCACATTAAAGAATTTTACAACAGCTGTAAAATTCCTTTTTCTGCTGTGTATCAATCATGAAACTTTATTCCTAGGATGGAAAGTGAAAAGTAAAAATTTTTACCATTGAGGTTGATAGAGAAATTTTTCACTTTTCATCCTAGAGAGAAAATTTCATGATTAATACCCTGAGCTCAGCCTCTCTTTTTTGCTTTTGCCAAGTCAAATCAAACTATATCTATTTCTACTTTAAGTTCCAAAAGTGTACACTAGTTCAGCATCAGAAAAACAAACCTTTAATTTTGATTTCGATTCACAACCAACTCTTCATCTTTTTTTAGTTCTAAGAATTAAAAAACGTGAAGAGCAAATTGAACCGAGATTAAAATTAATCTGCACCGATGTCTTTCTACAAATGAACTTTAATCTCAGTTCAATTTATTCATTTTTCTTCTAATTCTTAGAACTAGAAGAATTAAAAAAAGATGAAGAGTTAGTTGAATCAAGATTAAAATTAAATTGTACTGGTGGAAATAGGCATGAAATGGGCATAATTGATATTGATATAATTTATATATTTAATACATTATTAAAAATTAAAAATTACATAGTTATAATTATAATGAACATGTTGAAGATGTTAGGCTTGATGATAATAATGTTGTTAATTTGTAAATCTCGCCTCAATTTCATTTATAAGTATAATAATTTGACTTTATTTTGCTTTTTATTCACTTATTGAGAATTTATTTATACATGTGTATTAAGAGGATGCTGGAGCCGCCTGTATTACCGATAAAACTAGCATTTTTGACGTTTTTTTAATTCCAAATTCGGTTTCAATCTCATTTTCTACATTTATTATATTCACTCATTTATTGTATTGAATCTTAGAATATAATAATTAAACACTGGAAGTGTCATAGCTTTAAAGAGTACAAAACCTTGTATAGTGCAAAAGTGTATAGTGCAATCAAAGTCCTTCATTTCGTTTCTTTTCAAAAATGAAAGTCCAATTGATTTTCTTACGCTTTATGCATTATGTAAAGATCTGTGCCCCGTCCTTTACCTTCCACCGGCAATATTGGACTTTAAAGGCAGATGAATTTGAATCTGTAAAAAATAAGTAAAATTTAATCCATCTTCTAAAAACTTGTTCAAACTTTTACAAGTATGCAAGAGGTTTTTTTTCAGATTTTCATACAATCCAGAACAATATAAAAGGATCGAATACCCAGGATGATACAAGAGCGAAAATTTCATATTGCTGATGGAAGGTTAATTGGTATTCTTCTTAACTGAAAGACTTCCGATTCCCAGAGAAGGGTCTGAGCCAGCCAGAAACAAAGTTATTTAAATAGTATACAGAGTCAATTGTATGAAACAGAAGAAGCAAATTCAGTAAAAAATCTCTAAAAATAGAAGTAGAACAACAGACACAACCATTGCAATTTCATGCAACTTCGTTCGACTCCGAAGCGCAATTGCTCCACCTGAGGCATTATTTTGAGACTTTCCTCCAACATATGTCCATCCTAAGGCCTGTTCTTTTTAACTAAATTCTTTCCTCTTTTTTTTCTCTTTGTATTGAAGGAAAGAAAAAAGATTAATGGTATAAAAAATTTAGTTAAAAAGAACAGACTTTTTTTGTTTTCTTGCTACAATACACATGAATCGATTGTCTGCGAATCTTTGACAATTTCGAAATTTTAATATGATTGTGTTCCAATATGCACGCAACATAAACTGTAATTTTTTCAGTATTGGCAGTATGTATTGGAAACGATCTATAAAAGTACATACATATTGTGTAAAGTTAGGCAAATATACGCAATTTTCATCTATCACAAGTACATAAATAGATTTTGAGCAAATAAGGATAGATAGATATTGGAGATACTCACTACATTATTTGAATTGACTTTTAATATATATGTTCAAAATATCGAATAAATCTTTAGACTGTTTTATTTATAATACGTTTGTTTTCAGGTTGAAAAATGTCTCGGTATCGTGAATGGGATCTGTCTTGTAAGGTTTATGTTGGTAATTTAGGCAGCAGCGCCAGCAAACATGAGATTGAAAGCGCATTCAGTAAGTATGGTCCACTAAGAAATGTGTGGGTAGCTCGAAATCCTCCTGGTTTCGCATTTGTGGAATTTGAAGACCCGCGAGACGCTGAAGATGCCGTAAGAGGATTGGACGGAACGTAAGTTTGAGAATTAGTAATCCTTATATTATGTACAATCCATCTTTATGTATCAAGATACAAAGCATTCTGAAGATTACGTTATAGATCATTGAGGGGTTGGTCACTGAGATAATTTTTATACAAAGGCTAGACAATTCAGCGGCAATCTAAATGAAATTTTGAGTAAGGTACCTTTTAGTAAATCTAAAAGCTAATCTTTAGTATTCTCAGGTACCTTTTTATTTATGCTTAATTTGATTAGTCGTAAAATTTTTAATTTAGCACTAAGTTGTGAGATCGTTTAACAAAGAGTCTATGTTACTATTAGTGTTTTTTAAAATATTTTTTATTTTATAAAATATCTATTAATATTTATATTCAATTTATATTATTGTTTTGTTAGTATTAAAAAATCTTAAACGTTACGAGTAGTCTAACGTCGTTGTAAGCGCATTCTGAATACAGGCCTATGTACTCATATAAGGTCTTAATAATCTTAGATGAGCACAGTAAATTTGGAAAAATCTCGGGTAATCTAAAAAAATATGACATAATTTTAAATACTTTAAGGTAATCTTGGGTAATATGAGGTAATATTTGATAATCTGGAATAATTTGAGGTAGTATTAAGTAATCTTAAGTAATCCAAGGTAATTTAAAGGTAATCCGTATCAAGGTAATTTTTGTACATTTTAATCGCTAGTGACCAACACCTCGTGGATTATATTAATTTTTAAGGATGTATATATAGTTTCTACGAAAAATAACTGAAATTAGAAATTTATACTTTCCATATAAAAATAAATATTATATATATGTATATACATATATATATTAACATATATATGAAATATTCATAAGATCAATATTTTTAATACAATTTTGTAGTGTAAATGAAGGTGTTCCCATTTTATCTTAATTATTTTTTTAAAACATGTCTACTTACATAATTTTTAATTGTTAATATATACAGGTTCTAAATCATCAAACTTTTTATATTTAACTATAGAAAAATTTGTAATTTTTTTTCATACACACACACACACACACACACATTTTATTAAAAAGTACATATAATACATTCTTAAAAAATACATATAATACATTCTTAAAAGAAAAATGTGATCATAGTAAAAAAGAATGTTAAATAATAAATCTTATATAAGAGATAAACTGATTACGGTTGCCATTACCACTGCAGACTTATCGGTTTATTAAACAAATTTCTGGCGGATGGAGCAAATCTGTCTAACCACTATGAATTTTGACGCGCAATTAAAAAAATAACACTTTAAATTTCCTTTTAAAAGAAACTTTTTTTTTTTTTTTTTTTTAGTGTAACGAAGCAGTATTAATTTTGATGGGAATGAAATCTACAAATCAACAAAATAATGAGATCTTTGGCAAAAGAGCCATCGATCTCCAACAAAATATATAATCGAAAAGTGGCAATCGTGTGAAACGAATAAGACCTATTCTGTACGGATACAAAAGCTGTACGACAGTACAATGATATTGTTACTGTCGTTATTAAGGGGATTCTAAAGACAATTAGTTATATTGAAAAAATAGCACTTACACACAGATGATTTACGTGTCTTCTTCTTCTTCTTCTGCTGGCCAGTGGATTTCCAATTCCTACATAGGAATCAAAGTACCATGCTTTCGTCGAAGACCACTGGGCTGCAAAGGCCACTCAGTCCAGGGTACCTATCATGGAACAAAGTCGGAATGGATTCCGGATCGAAATTATTCCGTTTTCCCCAGAAAACACAATAGAAATCTAGGGAATAATTGATTGAATAATTTCGATCGGAATCCATTCCGACTTTTTCCATGATAGGTGCCCAGTGCATAACCTCTTCATACTTCTCTAGTACCTCCATACTTCTCTAGTACCTCCATACTTCTCTAGTACCTCCGCTACATACAACACAGCTATAGAGCAGCGCATGTCGTCAGAGCTCTTTTATCAAATAAATATCAAAATGAAATTTCTAATTTTTCTTGAGCATAAGAAAAGAATTTCAAGACGTTCTTAATAATTCCACGATCATAATCTACCATAATATATTCAAAGGAAAAAAAGGTGTCTATAATTTAATCGAAATTAGGTAGCTCCAATGATCTCCTTTCATTGATTATTTTCTGGTATGACCACATAATATGGTTTATATCCTGAAGTGTGACACCACATTTACATGCAGGGTTTTTTATCAACCCGAGTTTGAATTTTCTACTATTTGTCCAAGCGTACCCCGTTATCATACGGGTAATCATCCCAAATTTAGGGTATCAATCATGAAACTTTTTCCTTAGGATGAAAAGTGAAAAGTAAAAAATTTCTCCATTAACTTCAATGGTAAAAATTTTCATTTTTCACTTTCCATCCTAGGGATAAAGTTTCATGATTGATACCTCTATCCATATTATAGATTTACGTGTCGTTAACACATTACCACGTCAATGACCTCTGCTACACGGCACGCTTAATCGGGTTTAATAACATCCACATAGTTAAGAAATTGGCCAATCATTCCTCGGAAGAATGGAACGACTATGATTGGCCAGTTTCATAACTACGGTTGTTATTAAACCCGATTCTGGGTGCCGTATAAATTTAATCATTGTCTCACTCATGCGCGCATATTGGACTAAGCAATGGTAAAGGTCTCAATTTCAAAATTTCTTATCGTTCTCAGCATATACTCCACCTCATAGACACATATGTATATACTTTAATAGAAAGGATTTTCAAATCTAAGAGAGGAAAAAAGTAATTATTATACAAAAATTACGATTTAGTCGGTAATACAGTGGCTTTAGGATCCCCTTAAAGGGATACTGGAGTGACCGCCAAACTTGATCGATGTCGATAGATTTTTTAAATTCCAAGTAAAAAAAGTCGATAATCGAAACGAGTGATACCTTTAATTCATTTCGTACATTATCGTTCTGTCTCACTCAAACACATACATCTGTCCTTATCTAACATATTGCAATGCCATCTCTTGCAAGATCGAACACTACTGCTAGACAATGGCTGCGTTCAGTAGAGAAAATTGATCAGTGATTCTTTACTGATTGGTTCTTATATTTATAAAATAAATAAATATGTGGTCAAAAATTAAACGGAGAAATGTAAGACATCTACCACAAACGCACGATCTTTATTGGCGAAAATTATCTTTACATAAAATTAATCGAATTTACATATATGAGAATATAGACGTTTCGGCCTCAAATTAGGCCATCCTCAGTATAATCGTCAGAAATATAGAAATTACATAACCGTGTTCAGAGTCAACTTATTAAAATATACGCATTATAAAAATGTAGTACATCTTATCTTATCTCTATATATAAAAAAACGCACGCTCGTTCTTTCGATTTCAATTTTTCGTACATTTGAACATGATCATCGAAAATCATCCTATGCTTCGGTCATTACAGTTCTTTTGTATAAGGAGTTGAATGAGCCAACAAAATTTCCAGATTCTAATGATAATGATCGTAATTAATATAGTGCAATAATTATTTTCTCAACAATTCGGTCACTCCAACATCCTCTTAAGAGTTCCAGAATAGAGGTCTAAGTTTCACAGTTTTCTAGTAATAATGAATCTTCAATTTATTATTATTAAAGCACATATGAGCAAATTTATAAATAATACGGAAAAATAAATTCTACAATTATTTATTATTTTTTGAAAGATTATTTACAATGTGATTATTGAGTATCAATTACTTATCTATTGTAATTATTTTTAAAATTGATCTTTTTTAGTTTTTGTCCAAAAGGAGAAAAAAATAGCTTGATATAACAAGATTATTATATCATAGTGTAAAGCTATATCAAGTGACATACTTTCCATCTTTCAGACGATGTTGTGGCACCAGAGTAAGAGTCGAGATGTCCTCTGGGAGAAGTCGCCGTGGTGGTGGCGGTCGCAGACCTGGGCCTCGTTATTCTAGGTAAGAGATTACATAGCATTTCGCAGCAACTTTACAGCGAAAACAAACGTTAGAGTTGTGACGCGGCTAAGCGTTCCTCGTCAACGTAGGTATTCATGGTGTAGAAGAGTTTCTCTCTTGCTCTCAGAGCAAGAGTGTGCTCTTATCACCAAAATGAACAATGCACGAGTCTTATGTTTCATCTCAGCGAATACTTTTTCGTGCACATCATCACCGCGAGAATCGATATTGTCCCTTTTTTATGTCTATTTAGGAATATCGATATATGTGTATGTATATACATATATGTATGTATATACACATACAATATACATATATATTACATCTAGTTTGCATATTTATATATATATATATATATTTTATACATCGTGTTTTTTTTTTCTTTCTCTGTGTCGTATAACTGGCTAATCCTCCTTCTCCTCGTTCACGATCGTGAGTTCGCAGTTTGAGATTGCCTCTTGTTCAAATTTAAATTAGGCCGCACAATGCCTCTTGTAGAGATTACACTGCTATAGATATTAAGTCTGCATGAATATGGTGAAAGGTTAATTCCGAGGATTAGCCAGAGCGCGGCTAAATCCACATTGCATGTTCGCGTGGACAGGGAAATATCGCATCATTATATATGTAAGTTTTAGTTCCTATATATTAAGGCAAAAGATTGTAAGGAATAAGTTTTATTTGTGTTTCGTTACTCTTAAAAATTAATAAAATGTATCAAGCACAATTAATATTAATTGTTTTCAATTATCATTTCAGAAATTAGCTTTTTGGCGCAATTTAAAGAATTTAAATATTAATGATTAATAAATTAAATCAAAATACAAATTTCAAAGTATTCTAGAGACAACATTATAAGTCATATATTTATTTTTCAATCAAATTTTTTTAATAATCTAAGTCTATAAACTTCTAGTAAAATTATTTTAATCTTTTTTAATGATGAAATAAAAGTTAAATAAAATAAATTATCAACAATTTTTTTCTCATTTGCTTATATAGACGATATTACATATATGAAACATATATTATCCCTTTATGTACTAAATCATTTTTTAAAGAGAGAGATTTCTTATAATCTTTTTATCTTAAAATTCGTACTCGATTGTCTTGGGTATCACCACTCATATCTTTTTATCTCTTTTGCTCTATATTTCTCTTTTCCCATTGTAACGCTCTTGTCTACAAGCTTTAGCAATCGGATTTATATACGATATATCCTTTTTTTTTTAACAAATTTGTAGGTCCAGGTCGCGCAGCCCCCGTAGGAAATCCCTTGGTCGTTATCCGAGGTAAGATTTTCCTGCTCCTCTTAGTTTCCCGTCTCCTCTTTACACATTATCTGTCTCGCTTCTTTTTCTCTGTTCCATTTTGCGGTCGACCGTAATTTTCAGGTGCTAAGACAAATGAAAATCTCTCAAAGCGTGACGCGAGGCGATCACCAGCAATAACTTAGCAGACATACATTAGTTATTTTTAATCTTTTTTAGATCCTGTTCGAAAAGTCCGCGGAGAACATCGATAAGCCGTTACTCCAGGTAATAAATTTTCTCTTTTTTTACTTGTTCGACAAATTTTTTTCGCTTCGCAAAAGTTTTCAGAAACTAATTTTCAGAATCCTGGCAAAACGGGGTAGTAATCAGTAGGTATATACACTATTGCTTGCAGTGTAGTATACATATTGCACGCAATATTTGTCACGAGATAATAGTCATACTCACTAGAGGCATTTAAGAACGGAGAACGATGATGGAATCGAATTAATCGGCAAAATTAACGAAAGAAAATAGAAACTTGCATTGAACTTAATAAAATTTCCAATTAGAAATCAATTTCGCTATTTGCTTTGTCACCGTTCTCTGTGTAAGCGGTCGAAACTTATAATTGGAAAACTAAGGACGTCTTAAAGAGTAGTCGATCACGATTTCGGCGAATCGTGGGTGCTCGAGCGGCAGTAAAAAAAAAAGAAAAAATATTATAGTACTTGATAGGCAATCGAATTGAAAGTGGGAGGACAAGACTGAACGAACTGTGCGATGGTAGACGAAAATGAGAAGGAATTAAATAGAAATAATGTGATAACAAAGCAGAAACAGGCTCAGTGAATTTCAGAAATGCGTGGTAGCAACGGGAACAACTAAACTGCACTTTGGCATTTCATATGTGAACTTTCGTATCGTGCCATTATCGATTTTACTTTTTACTTCAAAATGGGAGATCTTCTCGGTGTGTAAAAATCGCAAATCATAAAGGAAGTAAAATTGAATATATAACTTTATAAAGTTTTCATCTTTTTAATAACTTTATATAGATAGAAGATTACTAGAATTGCAAAGATAGATTTGTTTCTAATATTAATAGCAATAACGAATAATAATTCCTTATTGACAAAAAGCATAATATAAATTCCAGATTGATGATCGAATTAATTTGAATAAATTCTTGTTAATAGAGATATCAGGAAATTTATTATTCTTATTCTGTTGAGAATGGTTAATATCTTAATTTCTCAGGTATAAATATATTTTTGTTGCTTGTTGAGACTTGAAGGAAGTTGAGACGAACACTGCTTTTCATCACTTCTCATCGCACACGCACCGTGGCATGGATGAAGCACGCAGATGATTCAAGCGTACGGAAGTGAATCTGTGTGATCTGAACCTACAGCGTTTATCAATTCATTTTGATGAATATATATGCTTGATGCGTCGCGACGAGAACGTGGTGCGTACGGAAGCGGTATATACATCCATCACATATCTAGATATTCGAGTCGATCAGCACGGAGCACAGAGAGGTCCTCCCTTCTTTTTTTTTCTTTTTTTTTTCTTGTACGTACTCGAGTGGGCAGTCTAGGATAAAACGAGAACGCGAGAATCGATCGATGAAATCGGCGAGAAGCGAGCGCGCGTGCAATTGTAAATTTTGTTCTTGATTCGAAAATTCTCTTTTTTTTCTCCCGAAATGATGAAAGTTCGCGAAAGAAAAAAAAAGGAATTGAAACGTAAGAAATACGCGATAGTGGCCAGGAGTATGATAACGTTGATGATTATATTGCTAAAACTGACGTTTGCAGATTCTACCAGCGTCAGCTCCTAGCTCTGCTCGTCTCCCCGCCACTACTACCACTACTTCTACTACTACTACTACTACTGCTACTACTACTTCTACAGCCGCCGTGAAAAAAGCGTATTGTTACGCGAACAAAAAAAAAAGCAAATCGTCAGTCTCGCAATCGTCAATCGAACAAAACTGAACAAAAAATATGCCTGCCTGCCCACTAACTTCCCAACCAAGTCACCATCAGTCACCACCAAGTCACCGAGTATATAGGAAGCCGTCCGTACATCTTGTCACGTCACGTCACGTCGCCCGTCGATGTTGTGCGTTGTGGTGTTGCGACGTGCACACAGCACACAACGGCGCAACAACCGAAAACAACAGTTTCCGTGCGCCGTCACCGCTGCCGGAGTATCGCCAATGCCCGAGACTGCCACCTTCGGAAAAAAAAGAAAAAAGAGCCAAAAACATTGCTTTTTTTCCGTTGCTGTCCCCCTTCCCCCGTCCGCCATCGTGCACCGCAAAAAACCGTCTTGAACCGAAAACAAAAAAAACATTGTCCATCGCTCCACTGCGGGACTCTCCCCTTCGATCACCACTACTACTATTACTACTACTACTACTCTTCCACCAACCACCACCACCACCACCAACCACCAACCGACCAATCAACCGGGTGTTGTGATCCACCTTCTTCGACTCTTCGTCTCAGCTTTAGGGGGACGGCGGCACACATCGAATCAATCGCCAAAAACAAAATTTGCCACCGTAAGAAAAAAATGTCACCCACAACTGGCCACCACCACCAGTTTGTGACCACCACCAATCGCGATGCAAATTATTAAAAAAAATAATAAAAGAAATCGTCATACAGTAATTCTGTCCACCGGCGCGTCTCTCCATTTGACTACGATCGACTGTCTTCCCGACTGTTCGTCGTTTCGAGACCGACGTTTCTATTCTGCCACTACTACTAGTATTACTGCTACTGCTACTTCTACCACTACTGCTACTGCCACTACTCGTCGACATCACTTAGGAACGTGTGTTATCCGCAACAACAACTGAACGCGTGAGAGTTGCCGCCGAGAGATCTTCTCGACCTTCGACTCCTCGAACGAAATGATCACGCAAAATAAGCGAAATGATCACCTACTACACACCATCCCACCACCACCCACCAACCAACCACCTGTACATGTTCACATTGGTATTTCACCGATTTTCAAAGATTTTTTATCTCTATCTCTATTTTTTATTTTATATATATATCTTTTTTTTTTACTTTGTTACAATTCTTATTTCAAATTTGTGATCGTTTCGGTGAGGAGTTCTGTCTGATTCCATGAACAATTAATGCGTTTTGTCGAGGCTGTATAAACAAGAATCTCGAAGATATTGATGAAGAGAATGAAATTGTTTTTGATCGGATTTTTATAAATGAACAATAGATGTTTAATCGAATCAGAGAACTCCCAGCCAATACATATAATATAAATAAAATCTATATCTACATCGAGATATAACATTTATTGATAAAATTTAATGATTTTATTACTAAAATTAATCCTCTACTTTTTTTGTTTTCGCATTTGATTGGTGAGACATCATTTTGTATTCATTATTAATCGTGTCTAACTATATAATTTTTGTACATCACCTTTAGGTAAAATAGGAACTAGATAATTCTCCTAATTCTCTTACAGTTGCCTTGCGATGATTTTTCGTATCTGTGTTCCATCGCACCGCTTCACTCTATTTTGAACAAAATTTGATGTTATAATTTTACAAATATTTTCTTGCAAATGATAAATAAGTGATCATTGAAAAGTAAAAACAAATTGCACAAATATTTAAAAATTAGTAAATGATTACTGTAAGAACATTAAATTAGCAATCTACATTTATTTTTTAGTAATTTAAAATTTGAGAATAAAAAATTAAGATATAAATTTAACAATTAACGTATATTAATAAATGAATGATCTTCTAAAAGAGTAATAGTTGCGGTCAAAAATTATTTGAAAGTAACAACTAAATTAACAAATATTATTTTAGCAATTAATTGTACTAAATAATCGTTTGTTTATCGTAATAATATAATTAATATTATTTTTGACAAATAACATTAATTGATAATTTAAGATAGACGGTGTCGATAATTACAATATTATTTATTTGTAAAATTTGTAATGGAGTGGAACGTAATACGTTCTAATAATCTCGTCTGCTATGTCAAAATGAAAATGATGTCAAACTGCCTTTAATTTTTTAGATCGAGATCACGCAGTCCCCGCAGAAGATCGTTGACCCGGAGCCGCAGCCGAGATCGCCGCTCACGTTCGGATTCCCGTGACAGACGGTATTAACATATTGCTAATTAAAAGAAAAAAAAAGAGCAAAATTTTCATTAAAAATAAAAAAAATAAAAACAATAAAGACATACAACGAGAACACTTTACGTATTTGGTATGATTAGACAGATTTTAAAAAAATCCTCCATTATAACACCACAAGAATTCCACGTTTGCGCGCCATAAGAATTCATCGCAAAAGAGATATCCTCTTTTGCGATAGTAACAAAAAAAGAGAAAAATATGTTTACACCATGATACCCTCTTTTGTCTAAGCTTTGTATTCTTTATCTAATTGCAGTTAGATGCTAAAAGTTCAAGAGAGAAAGAGAAGTAGATAGAAAGAGAAAGAGAGAGAAAAAGCGGATCGACTTTATATGCTGGAGGGAAGACAGAAAGAAAAAGAAAGATAAAATGAGAAATTTTTGTATGTACATAATAAAAATGGATTGTTAATCACACATACATATTACACGCTCGCGTTTGAAATTTATGAGCAATTATAAAAATGCGACGAAAAGTAGACCAATAGACATTTCGATTGATTTCATGAATCACATATTTAGTTTGTAAGCTACAATCTCCAAGTTTCGACTATATGTACACGTATACACATACATAATATATTATGCACAGTATATTAGCACATTATATGACTAGGTGGATAATTGTATGCCTATATGTTTAATTAACATTATCAAGATATGCTACTTAAAAACAAAAAAATAATAAAATATTACAAAAAAATCTAATTAAAAGACATTTGATGGATACATTGTGGAACAAAATTTAATCTTTTTTTCTTTGTTATACGAGTGTGTCATCTTTTGTCTGCTAAACATGAATCCGTTGGCAAAAGTTTATCGCCAAAGATTTCTTCGTGTTGCTTGAAATTGCTTGAAATCTCTAACAATTTTTGCACTTGATAAATATATTCGAACATAGAAAAGAGAGAAAGCACAAATACTGAATGTAAAAAGTGCAAGCAACGCAAAACCTCAACTTGATAGCCAATTTTTGCCAACGGATTCAGCATGTAAAAATACGTCTGAAACGGTTATTCACACTCGCGTTGCAAAATTGTGTTTCTTAGTGTTATTATCATTAATTAATAGTTATCAATGGATATTGATTAGATATTATTTTCCACCACATTTCCAACATAAAATAAATTGATATTGATTAGATAATACTTACATTTGAAGGAAGGACGGGAAGAGAGCAAAAATTGTTTTGTTATTTTGTACTTGACTTTGTACTTGAATTTGACAAAACAAAGAAGTTTGTGAATGATAATAAATAAATGTGTGAAATTTTCAGCCAAATGACTTTTTTTCTGTGTATTGCGAACATGACAAGAAATTTGCACGACTGTCTTTTTTTACATCAGTAATGAATAATAATAATCAGAAAACGACAAGTGAGTATTACAAAAATTAAATACATAAATATAAATATGCATTTGTGTATGTGAACGTATGTGTGCACCAAAAAATTATTGTAATGCAAGTTTTTTTTAAAGGAAAATTATTTTATATTTTTTATCTTCGATAAGATTCTTCGATAATTTTGTATACATTCTGATGAAAGAATTAAGACAGTAACTTAAGATTAATCGAATTTGTTACACTTAACCGCGGAAGAAGTTTGCGCCTTTTTATTTTGCAATAGAAAGATTCTATGTAAATTTGTATAAATTTTTTATAGTTCCACGATGAGACTAGATATAAGCTGTATTGCCTAAAGCAAGAGAGCATAATCTGACCCCCTCCTGACAGGTGTGATAATCTCTGATGGGCAATGCTAGAGTCTCATCCAGTAGCTTCAAAATCTCCAGATATGCTTTCAATGCGTGCTCATTTCGGCCTTCTTCGAGATTCATCGACGCGACTCTGAAAAGTGCATCCGTATCCTGTAAAGCTTTCAAACCCTTCAGAATGTTTGTGCTTTTGCCACACTTCGCACATCCGATCATGAACTCATTCGTGTCGCTTTTGACCAACAATACGTTACCACAGGACGGTCCAGTCTCACATTTAAATCTGGAAGAATAAAGCGATGTAAGATAAATTAATATGTCTTCAATAAGATAGAGTAGATGATTTGAGTATTCAATTTTTTTTATTGTATATTTAAAGGAAATATTTTTTATATTACTCTTAAAAATTTTTTTCATATTTGTACATGTTAACAATTTTTTATTTAATTATTAAATAATGAGAATAAGTAATACTAACAATTGATGCAAGTCAATATTTTCATTACAATCTTATATATTATTAGTATTTATTTCGCACAATCAAAAAATAATCAAAATGTCAATTATATGTACTCGAACTTAATATTAATATCTCTAGAAATCAATAAATTATACCTGAGTACTGTTGGATCCAGTTCGTCTAGAAGCGGCCAATGTCCCGAGCACGCCTCGCAATTACAATCGAACCAATATTGTATCCTTAATTTTCTTTTTCGTTCACTCTCGGGCATGGTTGTGAAGATAGGACCATAGTTTTCAGATATCTCTTCACCTGCGTTGATTGTGCGAACAGCGCGAACAATCATTGTGGTGCCGATGAAATACCTCGATTAAAATTTTTTAGTTTAAAAATCTATAGTTAATAATAGTTTAACGACAATGAATAAAGCGTTTATTATTTACCGAATTACACCAGGATTGCACGAGTGATTTAGCATTGCAACCGTAGGATAAACACCACCGCCTATGAACACACTTTTGGTCTTAGTAAGTGTCTTCTGTCCTTTTGGCCTTATCAATTCTGAAATCTAGAAAACGAGCGATGCAGTGATTGTGACAAATGCAACCAGTGAGAAATGACAATGAAATCGATTTGATGGTTTCGACGTCGAATCGACATCGAATCGATGTCGATTCCATTATTATTTCTCTCTGGGAATAATGCTCGTTTTCAAAATAATAATAATGAAATACAATCGAGTGAATTGTAATGTTACATTATGTGTCGTCCTTACTTCATGTGAGTTGAATTGCAATAACTGCAAATTGTGTAATAGCAATCCTGCGATAAACAATTCCTCGTCTGATAATCTACTGTCCGCTGAATCGGCGGTTTTCACATTTTCCGGCAAATAATTGCTGGATCTTAACAATCTGAATAACCAGTTCGCCATGTAAGCCCTGTGAAAAATATCCTCTGGCAACCTTCTGTCTTCGTGAGTAACTATTGAGATACATAAAACAAAATATTCGCAAAAAGAAAATAATGTATACATTTGAGTTCATTAATAAGAAAGAGAAGAGAATCAAATCTTAAAAAAAAAGTTCAAAGTAAAAGTTCTTGATAATTTATTAATCAAAGGAAATAAAAAAATCTAGCGAGATAGTCTCATGTAAAAAAAAACCATAACTGATGAAATTAAGTATGCATGTTCGTGTAATCAAAACGATCATTTATATTTTTTCAGTTACCTAAATTATAGAAGGTATTTATGTAATCGTCTCCTCGATATGGATTTTCCGTGGAGATCTTCAACGCATTTCCGGAATCCCTAAACTGTTCCTTCAGCCTCATAACTTCTTCGAAAGGTCTCTGCATGATCGCCCTTAGGGCCAGGAAACACGTGATCGAGGCTTTCGAGTACCACAAGGCCGGTAACAATTTGCACTCCTGCGAGTGCACTTGGGCGTCCGCATCTCTGCAGCGGCGGCTGCAGTAAGCGACGCAGCTGTAGGTGCGACAAGCCGCCGGTGTTGGCACGAATATCCTCACGAAGCACAGGTGGCAATGTGTGAGCCTTGAAAGTCGAACGTCGCATACATTTTAGTCGTGACAATTTCGCGTAACCGCGATTTGCGATAAACAGAGGGAAAAGAAAAAATAAAACAAAATGGACCAAAGACAGCGAAATAAAAAAAAAAAGATTACGCGATTTGTAACCGAGAACTATATTCTCGACAATGGCTATGAAATCTTGAATTCATAAATCTTTGATTTTGCAGGATCTAAATCGGAAATTATAGCAAAATCATCAGCAACGGTAGTGTGAATAAAAGTATTAATAATTCTCTGCCGGCAATGTTGGATTTGAAAGGCATAAAATTTAAATCTGTAAAAAATAAATAAAATACAATCTAATAAAATAAAAACTTGCGTTGCTAAAGTTTACACAAGTATGTAAGAATTTTTTCAGATTTTTATACAGTCCGGAACAATATAAAAATCTGCATTGAAGTTCGAAAACCTAGGTTACGGACGAAGGATGAAAATTTTACATTGAAGATAACATAACAAGTAGATTTCCAAAAATATATTCCAGCATATAATGCTTCAATTTACCTTGTCTCTGCTAGCAGAAACGCACAATGTGATCGTTCAACAATCACGATTTCGCCGGGTGTTATCTTCCTGGTCGCCACGGCGTGTCTACCTATGTCACCTCCATCGTCCTTAATTTCCACCGCTCTACTGCAGGCAGGATATATGGGATTCCTGTCTTTCTTAGGGATAAGTCTGTCCTCCAAACGCGCGTTGGACTTTTGCTTGCTATGAGCTCGCGAAGGATTCTTCGTAGCGGCTTCGTTAAGTCGTTTACCTTTATCCATCACCGCGAGCATCATCCTGATGTCCGTTTCGAACTTCTGCCTACGTTCCAAGGGTATCTTGGCGTCGTCCAGAGCCTGAAGAGCCCGCCTAAATGCCTCGATTGCCTCATCGTGCCTTTTCAGACCCAATAAACACCTGGCCCGTCGTTCTTCAAGTTTATATAAAAGATCCTTCGAGTAACCGAGTAGTGAGGCCTCCTCGATGTCCTCTAACGCATACTCATGACGCTCTAGGTGGTATAACGTGGCCGAGCGATTCGCCAAAATAATACTTAATTCTAAACATTTAGACATTTTATATTTTCAGAATCGATAATCATGATAACATGAGAATGATGTAATTATTAATCAAGTAACACCCGAATAATCACGATAGAGATTTTCAAATGAGTTATACCGAGATACGACGGCAATTTTTTTGATAGTATAGGCACATTATAATCCAGAATATTATTTCATTTTCTTATTAAATTATTATATTATATAATAGTGTACTAATTACAAATATTAATTGCAGATATTAAATTACGTAAACGTAATTATATACAAAATTACACGTGTCTATACCTGTTGGTGACGCTAGAAGAGCTGCATTCGAATACGTTTCCAAGGCCTTCGTGAATTCACCGCGACCAAAAAATTGGTTTCCGATGTCTTTCAATCGAATAGCATTGTCACGATCCTTGACCATAGGTTGCTCCACCTCCAGGGGTAATTCATATGCTTCGGTATAACTCAAAACAAAAGCCACCCTCTCAGCGTCCGATTCGAGGGCGGAAAATTTCTTGAAATCTTGCTGGCGAATTGCTTTTCTTACCGCTAATAAATTCGAACGGAAAAATCCACTGATTTCCGTCTCATTTCCCAACATGATATTTTAAGTATTTTTCTTTATTATTAATACGTGACAACAATTAAAAATTAGATGCGTTGGACATAATGATACTAGAACACTTGAATGATTTTAAAATGATAATATAATTTATATTAATATATATTTATTTTTTTATCAAATTAAGAAGAGAAATATTGATTACAGATTTAATATCTATTTATTTACAGTTTATATATTAAATATGCAGAATCATATTTAACAAAAATTGATTAGAATTATTAGTTGAAACACATTTTCTAATTAAATAAATTAAATTAATAGTATTTCTTTTAATATTAATTAAAAATTCAAAATCATTTTGGTAATTATTATTAAGTATTTATAAAATGTACACTTTTTTTATTAATATACACTTTTATATCGTTCCCCGTCGAATCTTTATTAATTTCTCTCTCTCACGATCAATTCTCTCTCGAATTAATTTCTCGACAAAGTCACGCATAGAGATAATGTGAAATTAATTAGAACCACTAATTGAAGAACGCACTTCATAATCCTGAGCGATGTTTCGAAGTTACTAGCTTCTGGTGGCGTGTCTGACAAGCGAAAACTGGGCGCGGCTATTTCGGCGTATGCTATTTTGAGATACTTTCGATCCAATGTGGATGCTTATGTCGCGACAGGACGGTAATGTCTTCCTCATAAGCGACAACGTAACTTCACCAATATCCAGATTAAAACTAGATCACACTTGTTGTTACATTTCGCTCTTTTTAGATTTCCAAAGCCATGCATGTTTCGAAATATATAATATTTATATAAATACTCTCTCTCTCTCTCTCTCTCTCTCTCTCTCTCTCTCTCTCTCTCTGTTATTATTCCGTAATTATTTCGTAATTATTCTGTAATTATTTCGAGAAGTAGGGTGAGAATTTGCAAAAATAAAAACGCAAATAGTATTGATGATAAAGA